AGGCATGTGCTACCACGCCCGGCTAATTTGTTTTTTTTGTATTTTTAGTAGAGCCGGTTTCGCCATGTTGCCCAGGCTGGTGTTGAACTCCCGGGCTCAAGCAACGCGCCTGCCTTGGTCTCCCGACGTGCTGGGATTACAGGCGAGAGCCACCATGCTTGGCCAGAAAGTGTCCTCTCTCAGCCTTTGTTAAGGGTCCCCAGCCACCCTGTCTGCTGGGCTGTCCTCAGAGCCAGGGGAGTCAGAGGTCAGAAGTCACCATCCGGGAGGGACTCTGGAAGTCCACATTGATGTCATCCTGCTCTGAGGGACACCGTTAGTGGCCTCTTTGCTGAGCCTTGACTGGCAGGTGTCTGACGGGCCGAAGCACAGGGTAGAGGAGCAGGGGAATTGTGTTCCAGGAAGAGGGAAGAGCCTGTGCCAAGTCCCTGTGGTGGGAAAGCCTGACCAGTGTAACGGCCAACAGCCCAGTGTGGCTGGGACATCATGTGGGAAGAACCGGGGCAGGTGGGGCCAGAGGCGGACACACCACTGTGAACACCAGGCGGCAGGGCGCTGGGGTGGTGGGGAGCCCCCAGCGGGCTGGGATCAGGGCTGAGGCAGAGCAGCTCTGGATAGAGAGAGCTCTCTGGGGCCAGTCCAGGGGTGAAGGTGAGTGGCAGGTTGGAGAGACTGGAGACAGGGAGGCGGCTGGAAATGGAATCCAGGAGGAAGAGGATGTAGCTTTCGTTGGGGCTGGAGCTCTGGGACCGAGATGAGGGGACGGGGCAGGGAGAGGCAGGGGCAGGTGGGTGAGAGCATGGGGACAGGCTATGGAGGGGAGGCACTTTTGGGAGCTCCCACCGCCCCTGGTCACTTCTGTTATCCTTGTTTGCTCTCACTCTGTCAACCCATCTGCCTGCGGGGGCCCCAGTTCACTGGAGGCCTTGGGGACATTTGCTAAGCCCTTCTCACTCAGCCTGCCTCTTCCTTGTCCTTCAACTCCTTTGGAAAAATCTGATTCCTGCCCAAGCTGGATCAGGGGCTCCCCCACCCCAACTCCTATGATGCCCTGTGCTGCCTTCAGGACAGCAGCTTCCCAGTCCTCCTCCCAGAGGGCGGGTCTCACTGTCTCCAGATCTCAGCAGTGCTCAGCCCAGGGCCTCTGGCCAGGCTGGCACAGGGCCCAAGCCACGGTCAGCCAGTGTTGGGGACGGCCACGCCCTCACCTCGGACCTCCAGCTTGCACTCAGCCAGCGCCTCGCCCAGCTCGTTGACGGCCAGGCAGGTGTAAGTCCCAGCGTCGAAGGGCGAGGGGCGGCGGATGTTCAGCGTCAGGACCCCCTGGTAATTGTTCATCAGGAACTTGGGATCTTCGCGGATTTCCATCTTGTTCTTCATCCAGACCACCTTCGGCTGTTAAAGAGTCAAGGGAGAGGAGGCCAACTTAGAGAGGGTCCCTGGGCAATGACAAAATGGAGCTCGGGAAGCAGATCTGGGTTCTAGGCTCTGCCACGCTCTTGCCGGATGTCCTGGGGCGAGTCACTTCTCCCTGACCCTCAGTTTCCTATTCTGTAAAAGCAGGTTGATAGTCCCTACTTCACAGGGTAATGGTGCGGTCTTCCCATTGCTCTCAGGACAAAGAGCTCCCTGTCATGGCCCACAGGGTCCCACAGTCTTTGATCCCCATTACTTCTATGCTCCAGCCAAACAGGCTACCTCGCTGTCTTTCAAACAGACCAGACAGGCGCCCACCTCAGGACCCTGGCACTGGCTGTTCCCTCTTCCATGCTGCCCTTCCCTCCTTTTTTTTTTTTTTTTTTTAACCTATCCTTTAGGTCTCAGTTCACACGTCCCTTCGTGGCCCCTAGACTGGAACGGAAATACCTATTTTTACACTCTGCCTGTGTTTCTCTCACACACTTGCCTCCCTTTATAATTGTATTTATTTTGTATATAGAGATGGGTTCCACCATATTGCCCAGGCTGGTTTCAAACTCCTGGCCTCAAGCCAACCTCCCACCACGGCTTCCCAAAGTGCTGGGATT